CTTTTATTGCTAAATCAGCATCTATTGTTGCCTAATGTCCTTTCACGTAGCAATAGGCTGATATATATAATAGTATCGGCATTTCATACCTCGAATCAAGGATCTGAATTATTAAGTAGACACATTTCAAAAACCTAAAAATAATTTACCATTATTTCCTTTTATGACAGTGTGACTTTACTCGTTTTCATCTTAGTTTTTGGAATGGACTACGATTGAAACCAACCAATGAACATTTATTTACTTCTTTAAAATTTTGCAATCATTTTACAGCAGTCAACTTAAACTAGTTTAAAACTGGTTGAAAATGTTTTCGCAACTGTTGATGCGCAATGTTCCCTGCAGATCAATTCAAGACGTTTGAAAAATGTGTACACTGTCAATATGCAAATTATCACCTTGAAAGACATTCTCGATGAAAATCTATGCATTTGAATCAAACATGCAAGTAATACTTTTAAAATGAGGTAAGGTTCTTATTTCACACTCTCGCATATAGATGACAGTTACCAGCAATCCGGAGCTACTCACAACTAACTACCTGTGGCCTGTTACAAATTTATAACATCGACGATTTTCCGCGTTATTCTGTCGTATCGAAAACAGCAGTTTTCCTACACTTCTTTAGCAGCCACTCCGCAAATGTAGGTAGTTCAAGAATGTCGTCATTGCAGAAAATCTCTGCTTAATGACTCCCATCCATCTTACACTACCGAAGAATCAGTTTAAAGTAAGGAACTTTCCTGTAATGCGTTCAGGTTAATAAACATTGCGTGGCGAGAGCGTCAAGTCTGCCTCATCAACAGCTAGGAGCTGGCGCGTTCCGTGACGTGGTGTATTTGTCCTATGCGCTGCAAACGCTTAACAGCCATGTAACCACGACCTGCTTAAACCGCTCTTCTTGATGACCAGAAGCAAGATGGTAGTAAGAAATTGCGGTAAAACGGCGTGCAACGATCCCCATCAGTCTTAAACCATCGCAGAATTAGTTTAAGGTATATGAGTAACGAATAATATTAGTTACAAATATAACAAAGAAGTGAAATACCATCAGCGACTTACTTGTATCCATTTTTATCAATAGCCACTGCAAAATGTCGTGGCTGATCATCACATTGGTAAAGGTTCCGGTCGTTTTCGGGAAGGAGGTCGACGTCATGGAAGATGAAGCAAGAGAAGCTGCCAATGCGATCAGCAAAAACGAACCCGACGTTAGTAAGCAAACCTTTGTTGAACGTTTGGTTGCGCACCTCCCAATGCAATGCATTAGTGAATGCTGAGGGTAAAATTAGTGTACCTGTTCGACGACAAATATCTGATACGAAATATTCTGCTTTCTAAGGAAAGGTCTGATATGGTCAAGGAAGATCTTCAGGTGACTCTCCCTATCTCGGTACGGAATTATCATTGCAACGGTTTGCCTTGCATAGCTTTCATGTTCGACGACAATTTTCGGATGCCATTCCTGGTGCATACCGTCTCTTTGAATGTCTGAACGAAATTTTGAAGCGATAACTGACGACCATGTGGTCTTAGAAGCCGAGCTAAAAACTGGCTGAAGCGCTGGTGTAGTGTCACTAGAAATCTCTGAATGATCTGTAAATCCTAAACAAGACAGGAAATTTCGTTAACACAATTACACATGAATGTTGAAAACGATCGGTACAAATGTTCAACATTACAATAAGGACAGGAAATGCTAACCCGATTCCAAAATTTGTTAGATGTATTTCAGCGATTATGCTGCCATATGATACTCGGCTACAAACTAATCGACACAAGCGACACTCACTCAATGATACACATGAATAGGTGTGACTGTAATCAACGTGTTCGTGGAGCCATTAGATGATAGGACGAATCCTGTTATATCTCGAGTCCACACACAGGGTGTTCTCGATACGTAGGTCCATCGATTTAAAGAAAGAAACAATGAGATCCAATCAGCATATGATAAACGCCGTCAATTTAAAAACAAAGAATTCAAATTTTAATAAGACATTCTTCCCATCAATGCGTCTTATTTAACAGTTTCTCGGTGAAAGGCGAGACTAGCTTTATCCAATTTAAATGACTCTAATCATTTAGTCCTGAAACACTGCTTACCGTGGAGAAGTCTATGAACTCTACGCAGACTGGATTATCCTGGTGGCGCTTCTAATAAAGACATTATTAAACCAAAAGTTTCTCTTATGGCTCGAACTTTGACACCTGGTGTATATTACACAAAATAAAAGCGAAAAATGGAATCTTCATAGCATCTCGCAACTCAATATTTCGCGTGCACTGCATCACAGATTCGTTTTTTTTTTGTTTAATAATAAACGTGAAGCATTAAACTATTTCAATTCTTCATGCGGGTTGAACGATTTTTATCGCCAACATCTTCAGTGTTTATTCCTCAGAAACAAAATCTTGACGCTTAGGATCAACAGGGTCTATGTTCAGGGGACATCATGCAAGAAACTTAAAAACAATACTCGCAATGTCGTTACATACTGTGGAATGACTGAAAGATGCAAAAAAGATCGAATAATGTTGATACGTACTATTCTTCAGGCTGACAATTTTAGACGTAATTAATCTTGGTCTTCCTCGCCATCTGTTTTGTTGCTTATTTCCAAATTGATGAAAACAGCTCGCCTGCTCAGATACTGTCATGCTTGCATTAAGAATTTGTTTCTATCCCTCCAGTAGTCTGCTCCGCGTTATGTCCCTTTTATGCTATTTCAGACAGTGATATGAACTTCTTTCATTTTGTGCTCAATGAAGAATTTCTTTGAATTCTCTTTTTTAGCTCCATCGTGTCCTTCGTCTGTTTTCTACCATGACGTTTTGAATCTAGTTAACGATCGCTTAGACGGGC